CATAGGTATCCAAGTTTCATAACAAAAATCAAAGTGGTTAAAATTATGGGAGTTAATGGGTTAATATCGTATATATAGATAAAGGCTTTTTTTACACAGACAATATGCGGCTTGTACGTTGGAAACCATAAATTCAGGTGTAACAACATATTAGGTTGAAAATTATTCATGGATATAGACAGTTTGTAAAACCGATCTTCAGGGAAGAAATTGAAGGCAACATACTCTACTATCGACTGCATACAAGGAGGAATATTTTTGTACTTGAATTCTGTAAAATATTTTAGAAGTTATAAGGGCAATGAAAAGCAATGGGGAATTTGCCGATACTTTCAGTAGCAACTTTCTACAAAGTATTGCTTTTAAAGGCGGTTAGGATGATTCTTTCTTCTAAAGTCGGCGTTCTCACGTGTGTGTTAGGGTTATACTTAACGAGAGTTAATAGTATGACTCTTTTTAAGTAGTCTTCCGAATTTTCGAAAATATTTCAAGAAAATGTGTAAGATGGAGGAGGGATGGTACGGGAGTCACAGGCCTCATGAACAGTGCTCAATATGTAACTTCATAGCCATGGCTAGAAAACCGTGCCCGAGTCGCCGTTTTTCGGTTAGTCGTATTTCTTGCGCAACTTGTTTGAATGGCCATGTCCGTGTGGTAATTCGCTTCACATTTGTCGCTACTGTTAGTAGTTGTCGCGATAATAGCATTGCCTTTTTGTGCTTAAAACCCTATCCATCAACCTTCCATGGGATGAAGTGCATGGCCTAGAACGGGTCTTAACGCAGCTACGACCATATGTCTTTTATTTCCTTCTGCAATTCTGTTTCAGCTGATTGGCTCAAGTTTGAAACCAAACCTTCAAAGTGATACAGTCCTGGATCGAATGACTCTCAATCTCACTCCACTCACTCCCAGACATTGATTTTGTGGGGCAAGTTTAATCTTTCCTAGATGTACTGGATACTGAGAAACACTTCGTTTGTTTGCGCTCATCTTTTATTAGTGGTGGTGCGCAGTCTAAGCAGTTCATGTACCCGAAGTGAAAAGACCATAGGTATACTTTTGCGGCATCTGATTTATTCGAAATATCCTGCCAAATGTAGTTTGCATGAAATATTTATAGTACTTTAATGAGCTTTATTATGTAGAGCTTAGTTACTCTTCTGTTCTATGAGGAAGTATGATATTTTGACGCCAGGAAACGTTGCCGTTGTATACTATTAATAAATTTTAAAGAACGCATTCTGGTCTTTCCTGCAATTTTCATGTCGGTTCTCTAAATATTAGTCAATAGATATGATCCTCCTTACGAGACGATGAATATTTATCCTCCTTTCTCATTTTGCCTTGAGGTATCCAAACCTCACTGGGTATGCTTCAGCGCTTACTTTTGCAGTTTTAGTGAAAAAAATTTCTCTTGCATCTGCCAGATAACCTCACTAAAACACAAACTCCCCTTGATACTTTATTAAACAACCTAAGCCCGGACTTCCATTAGAGCAGGACTTCACTGCGATATGGATGCAAAATGACATTTTTGGGCCCGAGCGTTGACGAATAGGTGTCGTTTGGGTTATGGCCCCAGCAATGCCCATAGACAAACGATGGCCATAGTGACATTAAATTAGCTGTTTTCAATTATTCAAGTATAACAGTCCAAGCCTCATTTGACAGACAGTTAAATTTTCGCGGGAGGATTCAGGCATTTTAGGATGTAAGCATAAATTATTTATTCAGCAGTCCCTGTGACTGGTGGTGATAACTGGCTTATCCTCTTTTATATGGATTCAGCGAAGAGGCTTCACTTCATTGCCTTAAAAGAAGTCATAAGGTGACTTGATTTACTCATACCAAAACGACAACAAGTGCAGCTGATCGAACACTTTTTAAATGGGAGACATCATCGAGTATAAGTCTTTGACGTACCTTTAATAGCATAAATGATCATTTTGCTTTTCTCT